CAAGGAACAAATCCATGTGGTTGAAGGGCAGGAATTGTCCTCTTGGGCAGTGTAGTCTAGAGTAGGAAGTATAGAAGAGACATTGGCTTAAGCATCCATGAAAAGATTAAATTCAGACTTGATCCCTCATATTTGTGAGGGGATCAGAGCATGACATGGGCAAATACGACATTCAACTGATGTGTGATCATCCTCTGTGAGGGTGGAGAGGCCCTGGCACAGGGTGCCCAGAGCAGCTGTGGCTGCCCCATCCCTGGAAGCATCCAAGGCCAGGCTGGATGGGGCTCTGAGCAACCTGGGATAGTGGATGGGCCCCCGGCAGGGGGGGTGAGCCACATGATCCTGGATATCCCTTCCAAGCCAGGCCATTCTGTGATTTCTATGGAGCCACCAGAGCTCAGTGATAAATCTTGCTTCCCTTGCAGACAAATGTTCCCCCACATCAACTACTTTGACTGACATGAGTGGAGCAGTGCCAGCTTACACCAGCAGTACATCTGCTCCCACATCTTTACATAACTGTTCCTGAATTTTCCCTCCTTTTTTTTTCCTCCTCCCCACAGGTAAAAAGAAGCTGTGATTATGCTGGATTCATTTGAGAAATTCCACCAAAATTGATGACACCATGATAATTATAACCAAAATTTGCTGCTGCTCATATTTTAAGCCCTTTAAACTTTTCCCCATTTTTCTTACAGAGCTGGGCTGTTAAATTTATTGCCAATATAAAAGGCAAGGGGAAAAACCTTTGTAAAAACATTAAACATGCTGCAAGACTTGGGCCAAACCTGATTTACAGTTACTCTAGATGATCTAATAATGTACAGATCAGGTTCATGCAGCAGTGAGCAATTTGACGGTCAGACCAACAGTGTTTCAGAAAAGGGGAAAGCCATGGGGCAAGCAAAAGGTGCTCTGTGGAAATGAAACACTTCACAGTGGGACTCTGCTTGCAAAATCATTTTTCACCCTCAACATTAATATTTATCTGTTCTAAAGCATCACCTATGGTAAGTGCCAGGCATGTTTACTATA